TATTGCCCCTAAGCAATAACAGGCGGCTGGTAGCGTTGTTGATTTTAAGCTATGGTTGAATAATGGCAGGACACCACTTGTATTTGCGTAGGGCACACAGTTATTTAGGCCGTATATGTTCCGTTTTAGATTATTCAGGTCAAACGACTATGAGCCAGCCCTTATAGGTTGATCAATTGGGTCGTTTGTTTTTTAAGTTTATAGAGCAATGTACCACCTAAATGAGAGATGCTCTCTGCGATGAATTCACCCGGATGGGCGTCGCCGGATGTCTTGCTCTTGTTAGAACAAACGGTTGGTTTAGATTTGGCCGTCTACACATTACAAAGGCGATGTTCCCATTGGGAGACAAATCTAATAAAGAAAAAAATAATCAATATTAGAAATAAAAAGCAACCTTTCGTTGATAAGATTTCCATTTACAAAAAATTACAAGTCTCAAAAGTAGTACTTCTTTAAGTTGTCTACATTCCAAGTTCTAGCTAGCTGCCTTCTGTCTGGAGTTTCCAGGCGGTAGGTGCCGCCTCTTACTTCTTCATAGATCCGGTAGGGACCTTCAATTGGGCGTTAACTTTCCTTGCTCATTGGCCCTACCGGTTGCCTCCATTTTCCGTAACACAAAGTCCCCAACCTTCAACGATCGTTTGTGTATGTACTCTCTTGTTGTAAGCTCTTGTCATTCTCAAAAGATAAAACTCATGACGTAAGGCGACATTGCCCCTGCGTTCTGGAAGTGAGTCCAATGCTAGCCGCATGGCCTCCCAATTTGTTCTTCATCATACAACATAACTCGAAGAGTCGGCTCATAATGTTTGATTGGTAAGACGGCTTCAGCACCATATACCATGAGGAATGGGGTTTCCTCGGTTGCCCCTTTTTCTGTTGTTTTGATGGCCCATAGGACATGAGGCAACTCATCCTCCCATAGATCGCCAGGTCTTTCAATTTTCTTTTTAATGTCGTCTGAGATAAGATTTTTTTAAGGCTTCAACCTGGTCGTTTGCTTGGGGCCGGTCGATTGATGCAAAGCAGTGAGAGATCCCTTGGTCTCCCAGCCAATTCTTGAGGGTAGGCGTCTCAAATTGAGGGCTATTGTCAAAGACCATAGACATAGGTATTACAAACCGGGTGATGATGTTCTTCTAGATGAAAAAGATGAGTTCCTTTATCTTAATTCCTTTGACCGCCTCAGCCTCCATCCACTTGGTGAAGTAGTCAACAGCAACAAGAATATACCGTCGTCCACCTGGCGCAGTTGTATATGGACCCAAGATGTCCATGCCCCATTTGGCGAATGGTATTGGGCTATGGATAGCCGTCAAATTAGTGGTCGGACGGTGAATGAGCTTGCCAAATCTTTGACACTTATCACACTTCTTCACCATTTCCATGGCGTCTGCTTCCAGAGTCGGCCACAAATATCCTTGTCACCTGGCCCTAACTGCCATCTTCCAGAATCTCTTGCCCCCTTTCTAGGGTGATGCATTTCAAAAGAGGCTTCAGAAAGCCCTTTTTAAAAAGTTCTCCATTGTGAATCTCAAAGTTGGCCGCATGGTTTTTTATTGCAACCATTTCTGGATATGCATTTGGCAGAGTGCCATCTAGTAGATAAGCCTAGATTTCGTCCATCCAGGTTGAACTTCGGTCCAGTATTCCAATGGGATTCTCTTCAATACTTTGTTTTCCAACACTTCCTAGAAGAGTGGCTAAAGTGTATCACACGAAGCAAACGATGCCAATTTTGACAAAGCATCCGCCTGATTGTTTTCTGACCGAGGCACTTGACTTAAGTTAAAATTGTCAAGTGTCTCGGCCTCTGCCTTGACCGCCTGCAAGTATTTAATCATAGCCGGATGGGTGGCCTCATAGTCACCATGGTATTAGCTAACGACCAATAGTGAATCAAAGCAGGCGTCAATTTTTCTTGCCCCTGCCGCCTTACACATGCGTATGCCAGCTAACAGGGCTTCATACTCTGCCTCATTATTCGAGGCTTGAAACTTGAACCATAGTGCATGCTCATATTTGTCTCTCTCAAGAGACTAATATATTACCCTAAAACCATAACCGTTATAGTAGAGCTCCCGTCCACATACACCTTCCAAACCTGATCAAGATTCTCCGTTTCAACCGGCCTTGTCATTTCAACAATGAAGTCGGTGAACGCCTAACCCTTCACTCCCTTCCTTGTTTTGAAAGAGATTTTAAGACTTTGCATTTCAATAGCCCATTTGAGCATTTGGCCGGATGATTCTAAAGTTGTCATTGGCCGCTTGAGGGGTTGGTCTATATAGACCACCACCTGATGTGCCAAGAAGTATGGTTTCAACTTCTTAACAGTCATGAACAAGGCGAGACCAAATTTTTTAATTGTTAGGTACCAAGTTCAGCATTTCGAAGAACATGGCTAATAAAATAGATCGAGAGCTGGATGCCTTATCTCTCAGCAAGGAGAACAACACTGAGGGCATGATCTGAGACGACTAAGTACATGTAAAGTGTCTCCTTAGGCAGAGGGCTAACAAGCATTGGCAAAGAGTGAAAATGGTTCTTTAAATTTTTGAAAGGCTGCCTCAGCATCAACCCCCTATTCAAATATGGTCTTCTTTCTGATTGCTTGGAAAAACTACAGGCACTTGCATTGTCACTTGACCGGCTGAGGAATCTCCCCAATGCCGCCAGACAACCAGTAAATTTCTGAACTTCCTTGACAGTGCGGGGAGACTTCATGTCAATGACCGCCTGTATCTTCTTTGGGTTGACCTCTATCCCCCTTTAATTAATTAAAAATCCGAGAAACTTCCCAGACTCAACACTAAAGACACACTTCTTGGGATTGAGCATGACCTTGTGCTGCCTGAGTATGGTGAAGGTTTCTCGGAGGTCCACATGACTATCATGTCATCAATGTACGCCTCTACATTTCTTTCGATTTGATTAATGAAGACCGTATTAATCATTCGTTGGAAAGTAGCATACGCATTCTTCAAACCAAACGGTATCACAGTATAACAGAATCACCCCTGATCAGTGACGAAGGTCGTCTTCTCTTGAACTTTCTTCCACAGGGTAATCTGATGAAAGCTAGAATAGACGTCCATAAAACTCATCAAAGCATGTACGGCTGTAGAGTCGACTAGACTGTTGATATTTGGAAGAAGATAACTATCCTTCGAACATGTTTTGTTCAAATTAGTGTAATCAACATACATGCGCCAGGTACCATTCGACTTCTTCACAAGAACAACGTTCGCAACCCAATCTGGGAAGTGACATTGTCAAATGAACCCGGCGTCTAACAAATTCTTTACTTCGGCGGCTGCCGCCTGACTTCTCTCCTCGCCATGATTTCTTTTCTTTTGCCTAATAGGCTTTTTCTTTGGATCTGGGCTGATGCCTGACATCTCTTCCACTTCAAAGGCAAAGATGACCTTGTTCAGCAGATTATGCAAGTCTGCCCCCAACTTTGCAAAGGCAACCATCCCTACCTTATCAGTACGCTCTGGACGTGTGTCATCCAGAGCAACATCAATGTGTTCACCAGCCGGCTGGGGACAAAGTTCATTTGATCTTTCCCCGTTCAGTGATTACTATTGCTTCTTTTTTTTTAAAGTGACCAGCTGGTCGGCCTTCACTAGTAGAAAAAATGAAAAAGGCACCGCAAAATGCGCACCGATTTTTAAAAACCGGTGGGAAAAATAATAAGGGGGATTGAGGGGAAGACTTTTCGCCCAAACCGGTGCGAAAAATGAGTTAATCACACCGGTTCGGTTCGAACCGGTGGGAAAACTATTGTTAAAAAAAACACGGGCCTTATCTTCTTTCTTTCTCTTTGTCTTATGTATTTCTCTTTCCTCGATCTCTCCTCCTCTCCCATATACCTCTTTATGATTTTTTATTTTTTTTTTTTGTTTAATGATGAACAATTGAAATTTTGAATGCAATTAGGGTTGGTGTGTGAACCATCAAATAGTTGAATTTCAATTTTTGGGCGTTTAAAGGCGTTGTTCTGGTTGATGCGAAGCCATGGCTCCATTTGAATACAAGCCGTATTTGGATTCCAAAACATGTAAGTGTAAATTCGATTTGTTTTGTTGAATGGGATAATTAGTTGAAAGTTTATATTGTTGAAGGTGTATATGTGTGTGTTAATTATTTAGGGTTGGTTTATGAGTTGATTGATTGCATTAATTTGGTTTATGTGTGTGGGAATTCAGCTTATTGTCTATTTAGAAATTGTCTGAGGTTGTTTTACTGGAATCACATTCAGAGGTTTAGTTCTTTGGATTCTTTGCTTGGGAAAAATCTTGTCTTTTTTTAGGTATATAATATACACTACGTTTTTATTTTATTTTTCAGATTTTTTTTGCAGAAAATTTCATGGATTAGTGTTGGAATATTTTATTTAATTACTTTATTATGGGGTTGTGATTTTTGTTGAATGATGCTGAAATCCCATGTTTTAGTTTTGTAAGTAATTTTAAATGGGGTTGTGTTTCTGTTGTGATTCATGTGGAAATCTGTAAAAAAAAAAATATTATTCCAATCTAAGGTTGCCTGGAATGTGGATTCCTCTACATGGGACAGAGACTATCTCCACGGAATCTCCCTGCCTGTTATTTGCTTGAGCTCACTGCTTGTTTTCATAGTTTCCAAATCTTTCAGCCCTATGCTCTCCTTTTCTTTGCGGGATTATTTTTATGGATAGTTTCTTTATAGCAAAATGGTAAAGTTATTTGGACGGACGACTATGATGTTGATGAACAGATAAAGTTATAATTTTTCAAAATAGTTATGTATTTTGGATTGGCTTAAAAGAGGTAGTACATTGAAGATTGATTTTGACAAGTATAGTTCAGGAAAATGTGTGGCCTATTGATTCTGTGGTACTAAACTGAAATCTGAAGTAAATGTTTATTTGCAGATATTGGCATACTTGCTACTGTCATCAGCTTCTTCGGCCATACCTATGACAAACAGAATGCAAGAAGGAGGTGACAACATTTATCTTCGGGTTTAACCGTTTAATTGATTCTTGGTGGTTAAAATTCGTGTCTTAATTTCGTTAAAAAATTGTGTGGTTTAATTACCTTAATATTAGATGTCATAGTATTATTTGTGGTAGAATGTGGGTAATTACTTAAGCAGAAGAGTGATGCATTTAAGGGATAGGATGAAATGAGTTGGCAGTGAATGGGATAGAGTAGATTTTGGAGTTATGAAGTTCGATCTCGAATGGTAAAAGAATTAAGAATGGATGTTGTTAGGGGAGCTAAATGAATTCTTTACCATATATGTTAAGGATGAGGGATTGGGTTCTAGATAAAGAAGCTTGTTTGATATTGAATGTTCTGATAATGAGTTTAATGTTCTGATATTGAGTTTAATGTGTATGATTTTCATTTTGATTATAGTTCTTTGCTGGATTTTGATTATTCGTACAGTTCAGTTGTTTGTGGTTTAACCACCATAAGGAAAAAAGATTTTTTTTTTTTTTTTTGTTTTTTTTTTTTTTTTTTTTTTTTTTTGTTTTGGAATGAAATTGTTTTTCTGGTTTGGCTGGAGATAGATTTACCGTGTCAAATTGATTCTTACTTATAAAAAGTGGAGATTTAGTTGAATGAAGTTTTATGCTTAGGATGCCACAGTCTTTATTGTTATGATGTGCAGTATTTTTTATAGTGTGGGCAAGGCTTTTATGGCTTATTTAACGAAGAGATTACAGTGCACCACCAACTCTTTTAAGGACAAGCTACCAGACAAAAACTGAAAGTAACACATAAGTTGTTTACCACATATGTTAATAGAAAAATCAAGCCTACCTTTCAGTGTTCCTAGCTTACAGGCATTTTCGCCTCCTTCAGTGTCAATTTATATTCTGGATTTTGATTGATTTGTTGTGACTTCTTATGTTTATCCATGATGCATGAAAGCTATAATTACATGAAAATAAAATTATATGAATTTGTTGGATTAAAAAAAAGTGTGAAATTGGTGTTAAATTCTTGCAATTGGTTAGTTGAAATTTGAGCTAGTTAGTTTGCATTTATGAAATTGATATTACTTTTTCACTGGTGAATAGTGATAAATCTTTGGTATATTAGGATATTCTGGGTTTTGATAAATCTTTGGTATATTAGGATATTATGTTACTGGTGAATAGTGATAAAGCTAGTTAGTCTTATTTTTTACTAAAGGAATGTTTTTGATCAACGTATTGTTGTACTTCATATTAGTGAGTTTTAATAAGTTAGTTTATAGATACAATGTTTTCAGCTATAGAAGTCTTTGGTATATTAGGATATTATGTTATATCTTTGATTTGATATTATTGTTTGTAATCTTCCGCACCATTTTCATGTATCATTGTTAGCCTTTAATAATCTGTTGTAACACTATAAATAGTTGTATTATTTCATGAATTTATTCAAAGCTTTTCCATATTCTCATTCTCATAACTCTATCCGATGGTAGTTTGTTGTACTATGATTCATTTCAAAAGAGATGCTTTACATAACATATCTAAGCATCGCTCCTGCTGGCTACACATAGCTGCAGCTCAATATAAAACTGAAAAGAAAATAACTTTGACAGAATTTAAGGAGATAAAGAAGAAGTTTAAGCGCACTTCACCTTGTTTTTTTGATACTTTTGCATCTGTTAATTACGCTTGCATAAGCGTCCATAATTTCTTACTAATAATTGGCTTCTGTGGCAAAGTTTTAAATTGCATGCTGGATTGCTCTTTTTCCTACGAGTATGCACGGCTTCTTGATGCCCCTGGTATTATAACTTTCTGATTCAGGATATAAATGTTTAAAACTTTCTTCGTATTTCTCACGAAATCTTTGCTAATTGTGACAGTTGCTGAAGATGGAGAAAATTGGAGTGTAGGGCAAAGGCAGTTGGTTTGTCTAGGGAGAGTGCTTCTACAGAGGAGGAGAATCCTAGTGTTGGATGAAGCTGTTGCATCTGTTGATACTGCAACTGATAATCTGATTCAGAAGACTGTCAGAGAGGAAACAAGCGGATGTACTGTGATTACTGTCGCGCACAGGATACCTACTGTCATTGACAATGATCTTGTCTTGGTTCTCGATCCAGGTAAGTTTAATACCAAGTACAAGATTTTTATTCTGCTTAAAGTTTAATCCATTAACACTGATATTGATAAATGTTGTAGTAGCCTGTTGTTGTGTATGTACTTCTGGTTGTATTTTCTATTTGTCTGAGTGAAATGTTGCAAATTTGATTCATATATGCAGGCAGGATCGCCGAGTATGACTCTCCTTCTGAATTGTTGAAAGACAGTTCAACTGCATTCTCAAAGCTGGTGAAGGAATTTATCTGTAGATCATCCAAGCATTTCGACGAGATATAGAAACAGTGTATAGAAACAAGGTTAGTGAAGCAATCAAACGATTCTTTAAAATAACCTCTAGCATTCACCAAAGCTATACAAACGACTCACTGATGCAATTCCATTCTTGTTGACAGTTAGGTTCCTGTTACTTAATAGAATAACTATAAGTATCATTGAACAAACTCCAAGCTCTGTTGTATCCTCTGGTTTGCAAGTGCTTACTTCATTGCATTGTTGTTATGCCTCAATTGCTGATCACTTGGACTTTTCGCATACCTACATTAGACCAGATTGTTAAATAATAATTTATCTTTGAGTTATTGAGTATACAAAAAGAAAGTTCAAGACAAAAAACACAGAACATAACAGTAGAATCCAATGCCTATTTTACCAAGAGCACTTAGATCCTATTCAATGTAATTATAAGTCCTGCTAGCCTAATCTGTTCATGGCAACCATAGAATAAAGTCCTTGCAATTGATATTTTGGTCAGCTTAAACGTTTATGAAAGTTATAATGGTGATTTTGCTTTTTCAGGAGTAAAGGTCGCTGCACTCGACTAATGCTATGATCGGAATGCTTCTAATACCAGAGCCTTTTGCATGTCCATTTTGTTTGTGCTTATGTAACATTGTATGTTATTTATTTTTTGACGAAAATTGTAATATTACAACTATTTATAATGAAAATATGTAACTTTATATATATGGTAATATTATAGCTATTTTTTTTTGGGCATTTTTGGCACCGGTTTTTGAACAGAATCGGTGCTAAAAGTTTTTTAAAAAATTTTTTTTGGGACTTTTGGCACCGATTCAAAGCAAGAACCGGTGCGAAAAGTGAGGTTTTCGCACCGGTTCTCACCAAGAACCGGTGCTAAAAGTCTGTTTTCGCACCGGTTTTGAACCTGTGCGAAATGTATGGGGTTTTAGCACCCCCCAAATCAAGACCGGTTCAAAACCGGTGCGAAATGGGGCGTTTGAACCGGTGCGGATTACATGTTTTCCCCTAGTGCTTTCTTTTCTTGCCGACTGCTGGTGGGGCAGGCTGGTTCCTTGACATCGTCAAGGTCTATTGGCTCTTTAACCTAGCCGACTGCAGCCGCCGTGGGCTTGACGTCTGAGAGATACCACTCTCGGGCCGTCATCTGATCTCCATTTAGGGAACCAACAAAACCGTCATCTCTTTCAAACTTCAGCAGCATGAGGGATGGGATAATGATGGCCTTGGATTCGTTTAGAGTCAGACGACCCAAAAGGAGATTATAGGCGGTAAGCTCTTCTACGACCAAGAACCGGACGACCATGTGGCGCCCCTCTCCCATCTCTCCTAGCTGGATAGGTAGATCTATTGGCCGACTGGGCGCACAAATCCTCCCCCAAAACCAACCAGGGGGTGAGTGACCTTGTGCATGCTGCCTGGATTATACTTCAGCTTGGACATACACTTCAAGCTGATGATGTCAAACGAGCTACCGGTATTAATGAGGATCCAGCCAACCCTTTTGTTGCTACCTTGCATTCGATGACAATAGGGTCATCATGATGACCTCAGGAAATGTGTTGTTAGACGCATGGCCCTCATCGACCGAGTTGACATCCATCTTTCTAGCACGGTACTTGGTGCCTCTAATAGTTGGACCCGACCCCCTCCGGCAAAGCCGTTTTCTATGGTGTGGATCGACTCCTTATCGGTGTCAGAACTACTAGTAGGCTTTGCTGGCTTTTTTGACGAATGTCATCACCTTGGACTTGAGGATGTAAGACTTCAACACCCCCTTATCAGCCAATCTGTCCAATAACCGCTTGAGGTTGTAGCAGTCATTGGTGTCATGGCCAATATCCTCATGGAAATGGCAGTACTTGTCTTTGTTCCGATTTTTGGCGGAACCCGTCATGGTTGCGGGCTTATTAATAGTCATCTGGTCTTTATCTCCATGAGGATGGAGTAGCAGTCCTTGTTAACATTTTACTTTGGGACGTACGGTTTAAACTCTTTCTTTTTCTTCTGGACGGCTAATCAAAATCGTTTACCGCCCAGATTTCTTTCCTCTTTTTGCTCTCTTTAGCTTTCTAAGCCGGCTTTTCTTGTCGACTCCCTTTTGGTTTGTCAGAATTCTTTGAGTCTGATTGCTTGCTGGTGGAGCAGAGCTCAGTCGCTTGTATATAGCCTTCCGCCTCCATTAGCGCCTCTTGAAGAGTTGAGATTCTTTCCGGACGAGGTCGAACTTAAAAGTCGACCCATCTTTCAGATCCTTGAAGAAATCTATGTAAGCAACATCGTCAGACAGTCCTTGGATCTGGATTCTCACCAAATTAAACCGCTTGACGTATGAACGGAGCCCCTCCCTGTTGTACCGCGCCCAAGTCAAGGCTTGTCCTTTCTGCGGGTATGTTCATGGAGAAGTTTGAGGCAAGCAAGAACGCAAGCGTTCTAAAATTGTTGATGCACCTAGCCGGAAAATTGTCGAACCACTGCTCGGCAAGGCCCTTCAGCGTGGCTAGGAAACACCTGTACCATGTTGCATCATCCAACCCCTGCAAGTACATGAGGTGGGTGTATGCCAACAGGTGGTCTTCTGGGTTGGTGGTACCATCATAAGTACCCACCATGAATTCTTAACCTTGGCCAGCTGTGCCGCCTCGGTTATCTCCTTGGAGAACACATAATGTTGTTCTCCAAGTTTTAGTAGACGGAGCTACCAACCTAGTGGTTGGACGTCATATGTCGCCTGACCCCCGAAGAGGGCAGGCTGCTGGTAAGGCTGGCAAACGATCTGTATGTTTGCTAGGGCACATACGGGACCGAGCCTATCATCTGAGGACCTCTATAGACGAACGGGCCCCCTAAAAGGCTCTCTTGTGAAGATTGAGAATACTTCATCGAGGTACTTTTGAAGCTGTCTGGGAAAGTCGTCGTTGAAGCCGAGTCAGACAGTTGCTGGTTTTTCTTTTACTCAATGAAGAATCGAGCATCAGAGTAAAACTTCTTGCTGCCATCCAGTTGTGTATGCCGGATGGCCTTCCTCTTCCACTACAAGAAAACAGCTTGATTCCGACGAAAAAATCCGTCGGAAAATGGTCTTCCGTCGGAATCAGTCTGTTGCAAAACCCTTTGTAGGAAATTCGACCTTTTCCGACGAAAGGCTAGTTTCTAACGGATTTATTTTTGTCGGCCCTTTTTTTTATTTGAAATTCCGTCGCAATTTTCCGACGGAAATATTCCCGTCGGAAGAGGTATAATCCAATAGAAATTTCCATCGGAAAAGTAAAAAAAAAACAACCCCACACCCCTAACCCTTACCCCACCCAGATCCACCACTACCCACACCCCTGCTCACCACCCCAACCCACCATACCGCCACCCCCTAACCCACCACCCCACCCACCAGAACGTACTACCGTAACCCCAACCCACTCCACCACCGTAACCCCATTAGCCACCCCTAACCCACCACGACCACCACTGAACCCTAACCTACCACCAGATTCCCCATCAACCCAAACTCACCTAATCCAGATCTACCACCCAAATGAACCCCGCCCAAACGAACCCAGATCTACAACTCTAACCCTAACAAATTTGGTCGAACCACCCATCCTAAGCAAATCACCCCACCACCCACCTAAAACCACCGTCGCCGCCGAAACAAACCATCACAGCCCAAAAATTAACAAAAAAAAAAAAACAAAAAAAAAAAAAATTAAAATCCCAACCCAACCCCCAACATCGAACTCCAGCAGCCACCACCCACCACAACCATATATATTCAAAAAAAAAAAAAATCAGATTAAACAACAAAATAAAAAGATAAAAAAAAACAGATACTACCTTAATTCGACCACACAAAACCTCGAAATTGGGTTTAAGAGGCCAAATTTGACCATGAAAACTCTAGATCTAGAGTTTTCATGGTCGAATTTGACTTGAAAACCTTTGTTTTCAGCAAGAGAACAAAGAGAAAGGGCGAAAATTGTTGTTGATGTTGATGTCGAAAATTGTGTTGAATTTCAATTATTTTTGCTACAATTTGCTCGAATTTGCTGGAGAATTGGGTAGCGAAATTCCTTAAAAAAAATTCATTGAATATTCTGTGGTTCATTGCTCGAATATGGGGGGATTTTTGCTTGATTTTTTAATTTGGTTTGTTCTTTGCTCATATTTCCTAGGGTTTTTGGTTCGTTTTTTTGCTCGAAAATGAGGGGATTTGGCTCGAATTTGTTGGAGGATGTAGGTGTTGCTCGGTGTTGTTGTGGCCGGTGATAGGCTTGTGAGAGGAGATGAAAGAGAAAATGAAAGGCGGTGGTGAGAGAAGAGGGGAGAGAAGAGGAAAGAAGAAGAGCAAAGAGAAGAGGAAAGAGAAGAAGAGGAAATAAAAGAGGAGAAAAAAGAAGCGGATTCTTAAGAGAAGGAGAGAGAAAGAGAAAGAGGAAAGAAAAAGAGGCGGAATCCTATGGCTAAGAATCCTATGTGATGATAACATGTTCCGACGGAGATTAATTCCGTCGGAAGTAATAGCTTCCGACGGAATTTTTCGTCGGAAGTAATAGCTTCCGACGGAATTTTCCGTCGGAAGATATTTTCCGAGGGAAAATTCCGTCGAAAGCTTGTAATTCCAACAGAATTAACTTTTGTCGGAAAAATTCCAAGGGAATATTCCGTCGGAAGTTATTTATTCCGACAGAATTAATTTCCGTCGGAATATTTCCGAGGGAAATTCCGTCGAAAATGGTATTTTCCGACGAAATATTCTGAGGGATCAAATTCCATCAGAAATTTGTAATTTTCCGACGAAATTTAAGGTCCGTTGGAACGATTCCGTCGGAAAATAGCCTATTTCTAGTAGTGTTCCCCGGCTCGGGGAAGCAGCACTAGGTCCAATCAATCAAAGGTCGAGTCCCCTCCTTTATTTTAGGATGCAGAGTGGGCTCCTTGTCCTTAACTGACTTAGCCTACTCAGAGCGAGAGGGCTTCTTGGCTAACTAACCCTTGCTGGGACCAACCGTCCTCTTGGAGATCAGGTCCTTCATCTCTCCTTTGAAACTTGTCATGAATTTCATGAACTCGTCTCGGGTGATGTGAGCAGTCTTTCCTGCCACCTGGGGCTTGTCGGATGACTTACACGGACCCGCCTGACCATCGCTCTGCTCCTTCTTGTCTTTTGAACAGACGTGCCTAGTAATGAGGGATCCATTTGCGGCCGTATATGTTTCGACCTCTGGATCTTCATCCGTATCATGGTTCTAAAAAGTCCTCAACCGTAGGCTGCTTTTCTATAGGAGGCGGTACTGTCTCTTGAGAAACCATCTTAGAGATACTCTCCCCACAGACGACATCAAATGTTTCGGGGTTTTTTGTGTCCTACGGGAGAGTTACATCACCAAGACTGGATTCCCTATCAGTTGTATACCTGCAAAACAACGGAAGCTCCTGTTGGTAGGAGTTTTGCCTCCGACGATCAAGTTAGAACCGGTCGAAGTAAGGTAAAAAGTGCGGAAAGTAAAAGTAGATCTTCTCGGATCCCAAGATCAGGTGTAATCTCTGATGTGAGAGAATTAATTGTGTTGTAATAAATGAACGTGCCCCCAAAATGGGGTAAATCTCCCTATTTATTGGGTCATTGGTAAATGTGCTTTTACCTAGGTCAGTCTGACTTAGATTTGGTGGGCTGCGCCGCTTTGCGGCTT